GTATCTCAGTAGTACACCTTCTCATATGACACGGATTAAGAGATGATAGAAGAAATATTAATTTCACATTTACCTTCAGGATATAGAAATACTGGACATGGATTAGTATCTTACAGAAACGTTACGTTGGAATAAACAGTAATGAAAAGCTACCAGAGTATTCCGTAAACATTTCGCTCGAAGATATTTCGTCGATCTATAAAATGAAATAAAATAAATAGGTATTTTCTGGCATAAATTCACAAGAAAAGATACATACTTATTCAAGTGTATTAATTAGCATACAGGTCGAAACATGGTGGGTATTCAAAAGCCAATAATAGGTGTTCTCTTAAAATGAAGGAATACTGCTTTAACAGATTACTATTTCGTGATCTAGTGTAATGACACCTAATACACACGTGTTACATTATATCACGGGTTAAATTTTCGCGCTCGTATGTATGTGTCGCGAAACAGCGAAAATATCATCCATGCGAAATAAATCGGCCCTACGGAGTCCGATATTTTCATTATTCTGTCGGAGACCCCCCTGCACACATTTCCTCACAGACTCAACATCCCCGCATTTTTATTCCAGAAAATTATGCAAGGTATGCCCGTTGTTGTACACAAACACAATTTTATCGTACAGAAAAAAAAACAAACTGTTGTATCCAAGTTCGGCTGACACAAATCGATTTAAAAAAAAAAATATCCTAGTTTTGTCTAATCAGGGTTTAGATGTTGTTGACATGTTGGTATTTTCTGGGTTATTTTTCGGACAGGTGACCACAAATGTTTACACGTTCGATGTGAGAATCTGACCGCGGTTCCCTTTACTACAAACTTTCAGGATTTTTCGATATCTAAATATACTGTGTATGAGCTGTAACCTGAAATTGTGTTTATTTCTATTTTTGTTACAGGCACTTTGACACAAAAAGTCGGTTTCCGTCGTTTCATATTACATTTTTGAACTGGTCGAACCTTGTCATTTGCATAACATCAGCCATGTGATTACATAACATCCTTAAGGTGTTGATACATAGATCATATAATTACTTATATAACCTGCAATTCGTAACAGGTATAGTAACCTTCCCGAGTCAAATCAATATACATTTACTCTGGCTAAGAAGTCTGTGACAAAAATGAAAGTGAAAATTGGATAATAAAGTACTTGGAGACTGATTATGTATAAGCGTACAATGATGCACAAAGTAAACACCAAAATGATTTGTACTCTCGTGATTTTGAATTATTCATGTATTTGTTTTCAGATTGAATTGTCATCAATGTTTGATAGAATTTTCCGTAACCATGAACTGATATTATCCTGATTGTTATATTTTACCTGTACAGTTATAACAGAAACACGGATTTAAGTAACGTGACCAGTAAAACTACAATGACAGTTCATAAAACACAAACACTTTAAATTTTCATTATACCTCATTACCAATAGGCGAACAAAAAACAATGTTACATCAAAGTCCATCGATTGTGTGTGAAAAAAATACTGAAACGACGAATATCTACGAAGTTGAAGAACAATTAAATCAGTTGATCTGTTAAGTGAAATCATCAAGAGCATTATGATGGTGACAATGTTGATGTCATCAAACACGAGGTCACCAATCGACGTTATATTATAAAATGTGTTTTTAGCTATAAATGTTGTAAGTCTATTTACTTCCGGGTTCAGTGATATTCAGTTTTTATATGATGTTACTGGTTAAAAGTAGAAATAATCAGTAAAAAGAATTCATCAATGTTGTGGTACGGCTGTAATTTGTAAATGTACAGCTTCCTAGAGCTTGGCAGGCTTTATATATATTTTTAATATATGTTTTTAAAGAAGAGATAGTATGTTCTATATGAGATACGTGATGTATTTGACATGCCACAGCCCCCGTACAAACTTATAAGATTTCATTTCCATTAAGGCTATCCACTCGGATACTTTATAGTTGTTCGATTCATCCTATTCTGATGTTTCTCATTGGAATTACAAAAGTGTTACTGTTCTTGGTTCGTGCCTTTCATTTTATCCTCCTCAAGTTTTCGGGAAAAGGATTTGAGATAGGTTAGAAGACTTGTGCCTAATCAAATTGTATTTGATACAATAAAAAGGATTAAATCAAAATCAAATTATATGCACAGATTTATAAATAACTTTGTATACACAAGATTTTACAAAATCATAGCAAAATCATTCGAGCCTACTCTACGGTCAATCTTCCTTTGATAACTCTGATCCACGTTTTTGTCCTTCAATTGCTCTGATGGAACAAATTTAATCAGGGGTAATTAATAAACAGGATATCAATATAGAATTTGTTACAATTTGCTGTCTGATAACATGATATATTCCCCAATGTTTATCAGATTTCCACCTTTTAAACTCTAGTTTGATCAACGTCATTTAGACTCTTTTCCCATACCTCGCAAACATTTAGATGATTTAGGGCAGTACTTGGAATGTTGTTGATTATACGGCAGTGTAATGTATCAAAGAACAATTACGTTATCAAATTTACCTTTGTCCAGTTGGCATTCATAGGCCCATGAATGCCAATTGAAAGCAGTCCAGTGCTTAAATGAATGTTTGAAATAGTGTTTATCTCATATGCCATTTGCATATCGGAGATCCATTCGTAGCCTTGATTAATCCTTTGATTTGATATTTTAGTTACGATTGGTATATGTGAATGTTGTGTTGCAGTGTCATTGCTTCAGCATCCAGGGTAAATTCTATTTTATTTTACTCAATTTAGGTACAACATGTTTTGTTTTATATGTCTTAATCTTAATATCAAAGCATACTTAAAAAAACTTTGATATGATTTTTTTTTATAATTATTAAGAGCTTGCCTCATGTTTACCAATGTCAGCGTAATGCTACTGGTTAAGTTGTTATGATATCGTACCGTGCCCAGACAATTACATGTCATATATGGGGGCTAGAGATGTGAAGTTGTCCGCCAGTGTCTAGCATCCACAAGCTATAAAGCCAAGACCTATGGCTGTGTCGTAGACGTAAAATCCCTTAACAAAGAGAAAATCATGTTCCCTAAGTTCCTCTTTGAAAAGCTGTATGATCAACGTCCAGTTTTTGACATATTGTTTTATCCTGATTTCAGTCAGTACTTTGGCAAATGCTGACAAACAAACGCCGTATATTAATACTGTAAAATAGAACACAGAACTATAGGTCAGCTAGGTGCAAGCGTGTAAAAAGGAATATATATTTAATGATGTACAAATTAATAATGACACGCCACCACCCAGAATACAGTGTATGTTGAAATATAATAAGATATCGAAAGCGAAAAGGGAGGGCGAGTGATCTCATCGTCTTGTCATTAATATCGTCACCATGGAAACGAAAGAACGGATTCATGTAAATAATAGGATTGTAAAGTAATTCTCAGTGACACGACATCAAAGCCATGTTAGTCATCCTTGAAACAGAAAAAATGTAATTGTCAGAAAATTACAAGACTCTAATAAACATAAAGAAGGTATTTAGTAAGCCTGAATATGAGAATATGGACATCTTCATGCTGTGTACATAGAAATAGCATTTCCTCATGGAGACGTCAAACGGCGTGTCTCTGTTGTTGGCGAGAGTAATCAAGGGTATACGGAATGATTCATTACCGGCTCAAGTTTCTCTAGTCAAATAGCGGGATCTTGATGGATAACTTAGAACCATTAAATAAGTTGGATTAGTCTGTTCGTTTTTATATAAAAAATGCCAAGTTATTCGGCAGCAATGTTCAAAAGCGATCACTCGGTGTGACAAAGGGATGGTGGTTATAACTGCATGCGAATAAATCAGCTTTGTGTCGCCTTCATCACCTCAGGTAAAACCTAAATATAGCGTTCATATGCACTCTCACGGGTTTAAACTAATTCTTCGGGTTTAAAAAGCTTTTTGTAACTTTATGGCAAAGTCATTTAGACATAACTGTGTACATATTAAGATAAATTTATATATTTTTGCTTTTGAATGCATTTTAACCTGAAAATTGCGATGTTAGATTAGCATAGCCATGACGCGAATTTCGTATTATTAGGAACATATTTTTATCTGCATTGTCAAACAGTTGTCTTCTCTTCATATTATAACTAATATATATATTTTCATAATCCATAATTGTCTCCATAAAGATAAGTACAATGTAGATATTATCCAATTACTTAATGCAGCATCTGGCTCCATCGTAATGAACAGCATCTGGCTTACTGATTGATTGGTAACAGTGCTACCTCAGATTACATATCATGGTGTGTTGGCAATCGATGACTGTTTGGCATTTCGATAGAACTCAATATCACTAATTTTCTAACGTTTCCAAAATACACCGAATGCTACACATTCCTACAGTCTACATATAACTTGATATATTATTCTATGTGACACGACGTCCATATTAGTTTTGTGCGGTTTCCAAAAAAATACTTATCGGAAGTAGACCTTATTGCGTTTATTTCTTCATAGCCCATGTGACTACCGAGTCGTGATGATGGCCACATTCTACGGAGTATGACTTCGGAGATTGGTTAATGGAGTCTTGGTACTTAATCTGAAATATTGTCCTCAAAACGTCCGAGCAGTTTTTTCATTGCCCTATCTAATGGTTTGTATTCACAATTCTTCGAACTAGCGACAAGGTGATGAAACGAGCTGGTTGTACTTTACGAGGAGAATTGACAAGATACTGTTGTCCTTGACAGTTGAAATAACTAGATTTACTGTGGAGACGTTCTGAAGCTTATGGCAGTATCAACTGCCATCAAATTTCTATTTATTTCCTTATTCTTGGATTTATGACACTTTGTTTGTTCTCATTTTCCTTTTAACACTATTTACTGCTTGGAGAAGACGCAAAAGTGATTCTAAAATGCCATCATGACATATATGTGACTTGGCATGTGTCTGCGAAAGACGCGTGTATGTATGTTGTGGTTCATCATTGGCGAATTGTTTTGATAATAAACATTAATCAAAAATGAATATGGATTTCACAATCGACAACCAACACCGCAGACGGTATTCTCCATCGCCAAATAATCTCTCCCCAACGACAAGTCCAGGGGATAGAAGTCCGAGTCCAAGCGCCTGGAGAAGAAGTGCAAGTCGTAAGTATATCAGAATGATGTGAACGTATATGTATATCCTGATAGTAAAATCTGTAAGATTAGAAAAGCTGCAGATTCGTGACACGTGATTTGACTCTCCTTACACGCGGTGGTTTGCGTCTATGAGGAAGCTGTGTAACGGCCCAGACTGTCGTCACTGTATCCTTCGGCAACACACTTTATTCTAGTTGCTTTGGTTGACAACGGGCCTTCCGTATGTTGTTCGGTAAGTAAGTCATCAGCTACTTTAAGCCAAGGCCTAGCTTCAAACTGGCCCAAGCTATTCACGGCAGGATAAATCCAAAAGGAAGTATACAAATAGAAATAACACAGAAATATTGTTGGTCAATATTCTCTCCAAAATAGCACTGGTTATGGGTCATCGGCGCAAAAATGGCGACACATACATTGCATGTAAAATAGACACAGAAGTTGTTATATCTGGCATTCTTAATATACTTACCGATAATTATGAAGAAATAAGAGCCTAATAGACAATAGGACATACTTATTTTTACCCCAATAACTTGTTGTGCTATCCTTATGGCATAAAAAAGACCATCAACAACCGTTCTCAAGTACAAATGTTGGGTATTAACACAAGTTACAACAATGATAACATGTATGTCCTGAGTATCGAGCTTAACAAGTTACTCCTTCCACGGCCACACCAGGACTGACTCTATTTGCTGTGATCTTACAGTTTATCATAAGGTAATTATATTCTAATTCTGATAGAGAAAAGTGTCTTCTACTGATCTACAATTAAACCGTGAACAGTTAATGTCTCACTGGTGGAGAGCATGTCCAGCCAATGTTTCACGGCATGATTCTGACACTAAGGTGACCGCAATGAAACTATCTGTCTGATAAGCCAGCCGGTTTAACACAAATTATGTTCTACACTTGAGTGACAAATTTCATCATTAACGCTTATCAAATATTAAACCTTCACCAGGAATGATTTCAGTGCCAGGCCAGGCTAGTTGAAACTCGTTAGTGGACAATGGATCATGGATCCATTAACAAAACGCCTCGACTATTGATAGTCACAAGTTTATACAAGGTATGTATCTGGCTTTGTAGGAAATCCCCTACAATACGCTGTTAAAAACGCTTCCTAAAATGTCGCCCTTTTTATTGTTCACGTGTAAAACAGAACATTTTCAATTTTGCTTGCATTCACATTATTTTTACAATGCCTTTAATATCAATTATTAAGGATTATTCCTACTATTATTGTTGTTTCGCAAATACGAATTTAGCTAGTAGGCAATGGATATAGGACTGTATATCATGTGTTCGACGCCCAGTCCGTGCACGAGTTGATAAAAAAAAACATGTTTTTATATAATTTTATTTGTGTTATTTATACACAAATTAAAAACTAGATAATCAAATGCGTACCCTGACACAAATAAATGTTTTAATTCATAATATTTTTTTTATCCATGCTAAAAATCTGACGCATTGTTATTAAGGCTTGCATTAGGCTGTCGTGCTAAAACTTCTCGCATACTGTAAATCATGAATTCACAAGCCCGGCCGGGATAGTCGTGAGGGCAGTCAATACGAACATCCTATACGAAATCTGTCTGCTCTAACTATATGTAGGTTGACTCAGTGTTACATCTTTGGAATTCATCTTATATAATCAGGACTATTTATAACAAAACTCAACGGTTAGTATATTGCAGAAAACATACGTCAAAATATGAAAATTAAAAACGAAATAAAACACACACACACAAACACACGCACACACACACACACACCACCACCACCACCACCACCACCCACCCACCCACACACATACACCACCACCACCCACCCACACACACACACACACACACACACACACACACACACACACACACACACACACACACACACACACACACACACACACACACACACACACACACACACACACACACACACACACACACACACACACACACACACACACACACCCTCACACACACACACACACACACACACACACACACACACACACACACACACACACACACACACACACACACACACACACACACACACACACACACACACACACACTCACTCACACACACACACACACCACCACCACTGAGACCCCCCCACACACAAACACACATCCAAAACGTAATGGAAGGGAAGTAACTCCGATATTTACCTATAACTAGCATTAACTTGTCCCAATGCAATCATATAATATTCAAAATCCCATATCATATCAATTTGAACATAAAAAGAAACAAAAACAAAAACACAGACATTCTTTTTTAGATATATCACGTTTGCAGTCAGAGTAAACAGGCATCAGAACTATACAGCTTTGTCGCTATTTACGGTGGTTGGTGGTTATTCCTGTGATATGTGTGAAAGTTTATATTGAGAGGCCCAAAAACTCTTAACCAGCCATGACATGAAATTGAGTACTCGGAGAAAAAAAAACATGAAAAGAATTGATATGGAATGGGCTGACAAGACTAGCTTCCGGCACCTATATCGCTGTGTTAGTATCATAATTCATTCGTTCCCATTTTGTAGGAATGCAGTACCGAAACAATAAACATATATCAGACTTTGTATGATTCTATATTGCGACAAATAAAAGGGCCACGAGGTAACTAAGAGTTTGTATTTTTGATAAAAAGTAATAGTTTCCTGACAAAATCAGAAACTAGGATTAATATCTTCCAGATATAACGCTGAACCATACAGCCTTAAAATGACGATTTTCCTCAAAGTATATTTTATACAAAATGGATTTATATGCAAGATGGTTTTGTGTATAGTTGTATACCCATTCTGATGTCATCAAAGTGGAAGTTTTTCCCAGTTGTATTGTCACCATTACATCCGACGTTTTGCACATCCCTACTGGACGCCCCTACTGTCACCTCTAATGGTCTGCTATTGATCTGAATAGTCAGTCTACAGAGATTTCCTGACCTTGTGGACGAAACAGACATATTCCTAAGTTTATATACCAGGTCCAGATCCGTTACAAAGTAATAGCGATGTTGTTGGCGAATTATTGTAGCTGTGTGACGACTGTACCAGCAATCACAAAAGGATATGGACTGTTGAGCTTCAGGAGAGTGTCTTTTTTCTGTTGTTTATCATATGGGTTTCCTTTCCAGTGGAAGGATCTCTATAAAAAGGGCCACAAGAAGGTGTCCAGGTTAGTAATTAGGCCCATGAGAGTATTCTAGCTAGAATTGACGCTCTCTCTCTTACATCGTGAACTAGAAACATTGGACGCGCTACTGTTATAAAGAAAAAGGCGGACAAAGTGTGGGAAAAAATGGCTCCATGGATTGATAGTGAGGGAAATAATGAAATATCATTACAAATTTTAAAGAGAAATGGCCTTTTCTGATTCTATATTACGATAAATCGATATACCTTAATTGGTATCTATACACGTTTTGAGAAAAATCTGTACATATTGAGTGACCTCACTTTATACATCAGGAGACATCACTGTATATAGGGAGACATCACTGTATATATGGAGACATAACTTGATGTAGGGAGACATCATTGTATATAGGTACACATCACTGTATATACGGATACATCATTGTATATAGGGAGACATCACTGTATATAGGGAGACATCACTGTATATATGGAGACATAACTTGATGTAGGGAGACATCATTGTATATAGGTAGACATCACTGTATATACGGATACATCATTGTATATAAAGGAGACATCACTGTATATAGGGAGACATCACTGTATATAGGACGACATCAATATATTTAGGGAGACATCAATGTATTCAGGGAGACATCATTTTATATAAGGAGACATCACTGTATATAAGGAGACATCACTGTATATAGGGAGACATCAATATATTTAGGGAGACATCACTTTATATAGGGAGACATCACTGTATATATGGAGACATCACTGTATATAGGGAGACATCACTGTATATAGGGAGACATCACTGAATATATGGAGACATAACTTGATGTAGGGAGACATCACCGTATATAGGGAGACATCACTGTATATAGGTAGACATCACTGTATATAGGGATACATCATTGTATATAAAGGAGACATCACTGTATATAGGGCGACATCACTGTATATAGGACGACATCACTGTATATAGGTAGACATACCTGAATATAGGATGATATCACTGTATATAGGGAGACATACCTGTATATATATATGATAAATCACAGTATATAGGGAGACATCACTGTATATAGCGAAACATCAATATGTATAGGGAGACATCATTGTACATAGGAATATATCACTGTATATAGAGAGAAATCACTGTATATAGGGAGATTCCATTGTGTATAGGGAGACATCATTGTATATAGGGAGGCATCACTGTATTTAGGGAGACATCACCGTATATAGGGAGAAATCACTGTATATCTATGATATATCACTATATATAGGGCGTCAAAACTGTATACATGGAGACATCACTGTATAAAGTGAGACATCACTGTATATAGGGAGACATCACGGTATATAGGGACACATCACTTGATATAGGGAGGCATGACTGTCTATAGGGAGACATCATTGTATATAGGGTGTCATCACTGTATATAGGGAGACATCACTATATATAAGGAGACATCACTGTATATAGGGAGACATCACTATATATAAGGAGACATCACTGTATATAGGGAGACATCACTGTATATAGGGAGACATCTCTGTATATAGGTAGACATCACTGTATATACGGATACATCATTGTATATAAAGGAGACATCACTGTATATAGGGAGACATCACTGTATATAGGACGACATCAATATATTTAGGGAGACATCAATGTATTTAGGGAGACATCACTTTATATAGGGAGACATCACTGTATATAAGGAGACATCACTGTATATAGGGAGACATCACTGTATATAAGGAAACATCACTGTATATAGGGAGACATCAATATATTTAGGGAGACATCACTTTATATAGGGAGACATCAC